CTAATGCCACGTTACTTCAAAATATCTGTAAGGTTGACTTGGATCCATTCCTAAATACTTCTTCAGACATTTACACCTATGGATCACAACATTGTGTCCATACATTCCTTATTGAAATTTAGATTTGTTACCTCTGGCATTCTTCTAGTTTACTGGCCTCTTATATTTTAAAGAAATGACTCCAAAATATTTAAATTATTTGTTTTTAAGTGCGAAAGGTGGTCCAAATATGCTGACATGAAAATAGTTCTTGTGATGGTTACTTGGGATCATGGGTTTAGTTTCAATTGTCTAAACTTTTTCTAATAGTAATAGAATTGCTTTATAATATTTCCTAATGGTATCCATGTTAGGCTTCAGTGATCATGGAGTGAGATCATGAGTTAACAGGATACTGCGGTCACCCCAAAATATGCAAATGAAGACACTACTGATTTAGGAGCTGGAGTATTGTGAGTCTGGTTCTAGCCTCTCATCCCTTCCTCTCCTGCACTTTATGTTGCTTTGGAACCTTACCAGTATCTCACACCAGATTATTCTCATGTGGAGACTGTCATAACAGATCAAGAGCATGCCAGCCTTGTGGTGCTGGGGCATCCTTTGATAGACTGTGTGGGTATTATTTCCTCCTTAGAATACCGTTTAAGTTTAGAACTATTTTGTCTTTACAAATATGATTTGATTTTTATCAAACACTGGCAAATGCTGTGACTGGCACTGTCTCCATGCTCCCTCTTGGAAATGAGTGATACAAGGTTGGTTTAATTTAAAATGTTCCGGTAATAACTTTCAGACGTTACAACTCAGTTTGATTTTCAGAAGTCATCATGAAGGGAATATTTTAAAAGTCTTACTCCTTTAAGTTTAAAAATGTTCTGCAGACTTAATTTGGCAACAGCCAGCCACCTACTCCAACCCCAACATTCTAGAAAAGATATGCCTCCAGGACATTTCTCCCAATGAAGTGTCAAATCCAAATCAAGTCAAATTTCCAATGTGGGATAATGCACTCTATTTTATGACCTTCTTCTGTGCCCTAGGGGGCACTTGGGCCCATTACACAGCTGGTTGGTATATATTAGGTATATTAGGAGAGAAACTCGAGTGGCTGTGGGGTTTCTGCTTAGTGAAGCCCGAGCCACATTTCGTAGGTTCTGGGATTATTAATAGTGTGTCTAGTTGCCTTGAGAATGTTCACACTCCATTCTGTTATGAATACTTAATAACAAGGAGAATGTGATCCTTCTCTTTTTAGAGAAGTTTCTGTGACTCAGCAAATCCATTCTAGTGTGATGGGCAAACTGTCAAAATTAATGAATTCCAAGTGAGATTGGGTCCCGCAGGGGAGAAACCTAGTGCAGTTGTAAATTAGCATTAATGCCCCAATGTATTTTGAACAGGCTACATTTTCACCACAGATTCAGGTCCAGAGAAAGTCTTTAGAGGAAACCACTCTAAAAATTGTCTTCTGGTTTGGTTGTTTCAATCCTTAATCACAGTTTTAATTTTGGGAAGAAGTATATCGAGGTAGATAATTAGGATTTTCTAGTAAAAAAAAAAAAAAGAAAACAAAGAGGAAATAAGTGCTATAATTATACAAAGACATTTCAGTGGCAGAGTTTTGTGGGGTTTTTTTTGTTTTTTGTGCAGTCCTAGTTTAATGGTATTGTTGCTGAGCCTCAATCTCTCTAATGAGATTACAAAGATGAAAGATGATGAAGACTCAGTTTATACAGCTTTGGAATGATCTCCAAGAAATACACAGTGTACCTATCCAAGCGCATCTTATTATGAGAATCTTAAATCATTATATGCAATGATGTTTGGGTCAAAGGTGTCTAACTTTTTTAAAGGGATTTTGACCTTTAAGGAATCAAACACAGAATGGTAGTTGCCTTTGCCTTCCTTCTGAGGAGAGAGGCCAGGACTTGCCTCTCATTCTCAGATGGCTCTGAGCCCAAACACAGTCTCTGCTTAAATGACACACTGGAACCAAATCCCAGGTCTGTTCCTGGTGACAGAGTTCAAAGTTCACCTGGTTTCTCATCACTAAGATGAAAATAGCAATGTTAGCTGCTGGCAAGATGTATTTTGAGGATTAAACTAGGGTTTCTATATAGAGTACTTAGCATAGTCCTGGCATATAATACGTAGTCAATAAACGTTAACTTTTCAATTACACCCCAAAACAAAAGCAATACTAATAGATTTAAACTAAATTTAAAGTTTAATAATGCACTTGGTGATACTGTCTTGGCAGAAATGAAGCGAGAAAGCCACATAAGTATAGATTAAAATAATGTCATATATAGATGCACCCCACTAAGTGAGAGGACACTCTCTCCTCTTTGCACTGCCCAGGACACACAGTGTGAGATCTTGGATAACTGACTCCCTTCTGTTCTCTGGCCTCTGTCTTCTCACCTAATACACTGTGTAACGATAAATACTCCAGTGATTAAACAAGGCAGTCGTGTGAGAAAATGCTTTGGAATGGATAAAATGCTCTATAAATGTACAGGTGGAATTATTAATCATTTAGAGTGAAAGGTTAATTTTAAGATATTATATTTCACTGAAATTTGTTTATTTATATTTAATTGAATTTAATCAACAGTCGTGTGTTCAAGAAGCATTTACTGAGATTCTACTGCATGCTAGAAATTATTCAAGGAGTTGGAGATGTATCAGAGAGTAAAACCAACCAAAATACCCTTTAGGAACTAAAATTTTAAGAGGAAGGAGAGACAGACAATCAAAACAAATGAATAAATAAGTAAATTATGTGGTATACTGCATAATAGGTGATAGATGCTATGGAGAGAAACAGCAGATGGGTCAGTTGGGAGCCCTCCCTGTGATAGAGGGCACTGCAACTTAGGTAAGGTGGTCAGAGCAAACCTCATTGAGAAGGAGATGGTCCAGCAAAGACTTGAAAAGGTGAGGGAATGAGCCAGGTGGCTTCTGTGGGATGAGCATCCCAGGCAGTGGGAGGAGCATGAATAAAGACCAGAGCTTGGAGCATGGCTGGAGTGGAATGAGCAAGGGAGAGGAACAGGAGGTGACCTCAGAGAGGGAAGAGTGAGGATGGATCATAGAGAAAGATTGGCGTTTATATGAGAGAATGGGAGCTCTGGAAGGTTCTGACCAGAGGAGAGAGATGACCGGACACATTTTAACTGGATCACTCTGGCTCATCGATTAGAGTGTGTGGGTAGGGGGCAATGATAGAGGCAGAGAAAGCCATTGGGCACCATCATGGCAATCTAAGGGAGAGACGATGATAGCTTGGGCCGGGGAGGTGGCAGAAGAGAAGGCAAGGTGCTGATTCTGAGTATATTTTGAAGGTGCAGCTCATGGACTTCTGGTGCAGTGAATGTAGGTATGAGAAAAAGAAGGGCATCAAGGAGGACTCCAAGCGTTTGGTCTGAGCAACTGCAAGAATGGATGGCCATTAGCTCTTTTATTTAAAAACTAATATTTTACGGATAGAATATTTTTGTATGTACCTTGTGTGGTTCTAATTTATCTCTTTATGAAATATTAACAAATGTGAAAAGGAATAACATGGAAGAGAATCATAGTCTCAAGGAGGTCGGGGAACTTCTTGACTGTGATATGTTAAGTATGCTGGATCTTAGAATATGGGAGTAACCAAGTGGACCAGGAAATCAGGACAACAATTTACCAGGGTTCCATCAATAGATTTTTTTCTAAAGTTTTGAGTATTTGAGATTCCCAAATAAGGCTCTGTAGGTGGGATTTCTACAGCCTACATTGCATCATCGAGAGCCTGTGGGGTGTCATCAGGCTCCATGTTGGCTGATGTAGGATGAGAATCAGAGGCACTGTGAGTAGTACACATGGAAGGCATTGTTCTATGTGAGGTTGGTTAGGGCTACTTCTGAGAGTGATTGGAATGAAATACACTCACCTACAGACTTTGCTGTCTGTATTTTTTTCCTTTCTAAGGTCTTTTTCCTGGTATTCAGATCTGTATTTTCAAATTCTCTGTTTACATTGAAATATTTATTTTTTCAGGCTTAGATATCTATTTAACTTAATTTTATGGACTATGAATACCCTCCCTTCTTATCTTCTCTCATTTTTTTCCATGTAACGATATTACCATCTTGGGTTAAATAAATATTTAAGATTTACATTATTATAACTATGTAAATATTAGCTACAGCCAAGCCACGTAGCATATTATGAACACTCTCCTTTCTATTATAGCTTTGTGTTTTTCCTAGGATTAATAATAACTTACTTTTTTGTTTACTTAGTTTTCACCGCATATGTAACTAATTCATCCCTCAAATTCTCCAATAGGACTAAGTACTCCTTTTAATACAGTCAGATACATCAGGGTCTTTGAATGTTTATTTTTTTCTTCAAAACATCTCTCTGGGACCCTCCTTTCTGCAACCATCTGGACTAGTTTTCATTATACAGTTGTTATCTTGGAATCTTTCAGAGTCATTCTGGAAATTTATTTTGTTTCTCACCTATGTTTGAGCCTTTGTTTCCTATAGGTTATATATTCCTCTTTCTTGGTTTGTTGTCTTTTTATTCATCTTACAGAAGCTTTTTGAATAGGGTACATGAGAGCTTAAATTTTTGACTTTGCATCATCTAAAATATCTTCATTCACTTGCTTGATACTCTGGGTGTAGAATTTCAGGTCATTCCCATGGCTTTTTCTATATGGGCACACCAAGGTTCAGAGAGGTGAAAGGGCAGGCCGCTGGCCTCCATGCTGTTGTAGATCAGAACCTGAGAGCAAGTTTCAACTACGGAGAACCCCAAGGAAGATGCACATTTTGTCCCAAAGAAATACCCTTTCTATCTTAACGGAGGCCTGCCTTGAGTTCTATTTAAGTGTTCATTGCCTTATCTATGCACTCAGTGCTGTGTAAGCAGATGATGTGCATGGACAATAATCTCCCCTTTTCTGTATCAAAGGTACAAATGTTTTAGCAATGAATAAGGTCACGTAAATGAGCAAAATCTTGATTAAGCAAGGGCAAAAACTACAAGAATGGATCAGGTGGTATGAAAGTGATGATGATGATGATGATGAAGTCAAGTGAGTTCTGTGCAATGTTCCCCAGTGTTCTGTGGGAAGATAGAGAGGTGTATTATACCTGAAGCCCAGACATATGTTCTTCCTATCACTGCTTTGGAGACAGTTGGCATTGCTGGTAAGACGAGGCAACTGAATGTCTATGCTCTGTCACTGTTCGCTCATCCTACACCTGAGAGTCCATTAAAATGATAGTAAAGGAATTTACGCATAATCCTAAGGACAAAGAGGAAGAGATGTAAGATGATGGCGGCCATGAGATGCCAGTGACAGTAGATGAGTGGCCCATGATTTAACATACTGGAGAAAGCTAAAGGAAGTCACACAAGAGGAAGCCAATGAGCAGGTCTCTAACTCAGGCCGGCAAATTGGAGGGACTAGGTTACACTAGAATCAATCGTCTGAGAGTTTTTCTAATTAAAAAAATTGTTGTCATTTTCAACTTGGGATGTATTTGAATTTATGAGAATGGTCATTCATTTTATTACTGAAAGAAAAAGTAAAATCTGTGCATTACCTGAAAAAAATAGTTACTTTAAAAATTAGGCTTACGTAAGTCCTTAGGACAGAACACATGGAAAATTGAGTGCCCCTGAGCATGGTGAAGTTCTAGCCAAAAAAAAAGGATGCTAAACATTATCTTGGTCAATGAGATTAACTAAGGAGAATGTGTGGCTGCCTATCATCCCACCTTCAATGGTTTCACTTAACTCTGGAGCTTAAGGTTTCATCACTGGACTTGGATTTTACGTTTTTCTGTTGAGGTGCCATTGCAGTCTCTGGTTGTAATCTATTTTGTTCTTTGGTCAGAGAATAGGCGATTCAGATGGCTTCAGTTAATTTCATTTAGTAGTTTTATTTTATTGTTGCTTAGCTGTTTTGTTTTCTTCTAGTTCATGTTGCTGTGTTTTTGGACATTCTTTTTTCTAATTTTTTCCCTCTCTCCAAGCCTTTTAATCTGCAGGAAACAATTCTGTTAACAGTATTAGGATGTTAGCTTTATTTCTCACGCTCCTTTTCTGGTGATTTTCTTAATTTATAATTCGTTATGTGAATCTGCACTCGTTTCTCTTTCTTCATTAATTTGTTCTGTTTTCGTTCCCAAATTTTTATGCTCCCCCATCCTAAGGAGCCACTTACATCATTTTGGTTTATTCATGTGCTTTACTGCTTGTAACATAATTCCTGCAGTGTCTTCTGTTCCTTCCAAATCTCGAGACACTTTCATGCCTTTTGAAACTTTTGAGTTAAAATGCAAATGCTGGAACGTAGTGAACTACATACACAGTATTCATTACAGAGTCTGTATTCTTCTCTGAAAATGTACACTTAACCTCCAGCAATGTTAATGAGAGTGACTTTCATCCATCCAAAGGGACAGAGAGACTTCTCTCTAAAATGAATTCCCTATACACATATGGAAATCATTCTCTAGAAGGATATTGCAAACAGTACTTAGACATTTTCTAGGTAAAACATTAACATTTTTCTTATTTTTTTCCTCCAGAGATTTGTAAAACACACAGCCAAGTTGAGCTTTTTGTCCTTGTTGCAAAATCAGTACAAATATTGGATAAAAGGAACATTCTTACACATAGTAGCTAAAATCTCATAAATGTGTTCTTCTTATAATATCTGAGAAATTCTTTTTCTCAGTTATTCATTCTTATTGTCCTTTGACATCTATCTAATGGAATTTAGCTTATAAAATATGAAATACAAATTAAATATATTTCTTATAAGGAATCTTTTTAGCTATATATAGTATTAAAACTATAATAATTTTCTTTTAAACATTTATTTATTTGCTCAATAAAAATTTGAAGGCTTCTATTATGTACTAGTTGGTGCCCTAGTACCAGGAATAAGGTTGCATCATATCATATGCAGTGCCCCTCTTATAGGTTACAAAATAGTGGGGTGTACACACCAAACAACTTGGATAAGAGCTGTGAACGAATGATGCAGGAAGCTGAAAGGTAGGACATGGGGTCTAGTCTGGGAGATAGAAGACCAAGCATAAATCCCTAAGGAATTGACGTTCAAGCTGAGACTCAAAGAATGAGTAGTAGCCAACTGGGCTAAGGATGGTGAAGTATTCCAGCAAAGGGTACAATATCTGTCCTCAGGTCCATCAGGTCCATCAGGCCCTGAGGTGGGAAGGGACTCAGGGACTCAAGACACTGAGGCGGCCAGTGTGCCTGGACCCTAGTAAACCATAAGCGTGAGGTAAGTTTGGATTTTTTCCATGTACAATTTGTTAAGATCAAAATACAAGAAGATAGATTAAATCTCAACAAAAACATTGATATGTCACCCCAATGGCAGTTAGCACTAAAAAAGAAAGAAACCCAGTTCTCAGTTGTCCTTTTGGATTTGGTATTTCTCACTCTAATTCTAGCAGAATTGCTTCATGCACTTTGAAGTTCTCTTATTAGGTATATAAACATTTAGAATCATTGTGTTGTCTTGATGAATTGACCACTTTATCATTAGACAATAACCATTATAGTAATATTCCTTATCGTGTAACCTACTTTGATATTAATATGGCCACTCCAGCTTTCTTTCTTTTTTTTTTTATAATTTTATTTATTTATTTTTTCCCCCAAAGCCCCAGTAGATAGTTGTATGTCATAGCTGCACATCCTTCTAGTTGCTGTTCCAGCTTTCTTTTGAGTAGTGTTAGCATGGTATATTTTTTGTTCTCTTATTTTTAATCTACTTGCTTTTTTACACTTAAAATGGGTTTCTCCTGGATAGTATATAGTTAAGTCTTGATTTTTCATTCAATCTGATAATTTCTGCCTTTTCATTAGAGTGTTTCAGGCATTTATATATCATGTAAACATCATTTTGGTCAGATTTAAATCTACCATCTTGATAATTGCTCCCTATTTATTATATCTATTTTCTGTTCATTTTTTTTTCTTGTCTCCTTTTGGATTAATGGAGTTTTTTTTAATAATCAATTTTATCTACATTAATTGATTAATATCTAAGTTTTGTTTGGCTTTTTTTTTTGTTTTTTAACTGTTTGTTTTAGAGTTTACAATATGTATCTTTAAACGAACATGGCCTACTTTCAAGTAATATTCTACCACTTAATGTATAGTAGGAGAAACTTATAACAGTAAATTATTTCCTTTCTCCCACCTGCCTTTGTGCTAATACTTTCATTCATTTTACTTCTACATATGATATAAACCCTGCAATATATCATTGTTATTTTGCTTTCAATAGTAAATTATCTTTTGATGATGTTTTTTAAATGAAGAAATATTTTTTTATATTTATCTACATACATACCATATTTTGCCATTCTCATTTCTTTTGTGAAGTCAAAATGTCCATCTGATATCATTTTCCTTCTGCCTGAAAGTCTTCCTTTAACATTTCTTGTGTTGCTGGTCTACTGACAATGAATTCTCTTAGCTTTTGAATGTCTGGAAAGTCATTATTATTTTGCTTTCATTTATGAAAGGTTATTCTTTTGTGGGTATAGAATTTTAGATTGGTAAGGTTTTTTTTCTTTTTGCTGTTTAAATAATACTTTAAATTTTTCTCTCTGCTGTCTTCTGGCTTTCATTGTTTCTGATGAGAAGTCTGCTGTCATTCTTATCTTTGTTTCTCTGTATGTAATGTGAATTAAAAAACAATTTTGGCTGCCCTTAAGATTTTTCTCTTTATCAGTTTCTTTCAGCAATTTAATTATGATGTGTCAGGGTATGATTTTCTTCACATTTCTCATTTGGTGTTCATTGAATTTATTGGACATTTTGGGTTCTAATATTAATTAAATATTGAAAATTTTGTATATTAATTCTTAAAATTTTTTTATCTCTTTTCTTCCTTCTGGAACTTCAATTGTATTTATATTAGACCACATGATATTGTCTCAGATCTCATTTATTTTACATTTATTGTTTTTAGGCCTTTTATTTTTTTCAGTTTGTGTAGTTTCTATCACTGTTTTCTGCTTCATTGATATTTTCTTCTGCAAGGTCTAATCTATTGTTAATTCCATTTGCTTGTTTTTCATTTCTTATACAGTATTTTTAATCTCAAGAAGTTCCATTTTGGCTATTTTTGTATTCTCCTTTTCTCTCATCAGTATGCCCTTGCATTCTCCTACTGTCTTGAATATATTGGGAGAATACTTATAACAGCTATTTTAATGTCTATGCCTACTAATTCTATCATCTGTCATTTCTGTGTCTGTTTCTATTGAATGAGTTTACTCCTGACAATAGGTCATATTTTCTTGCTTATGTCCAATTTTTTGTGGCCAGATATAGTAACTTTTACATTATTGATTATTAAATTTTTTTCTTCTCCATTACCTAGTGTTGAAGTTGGTTTGTTGCGCAGTTAAGTTATATAGAATCAATGTAATCCCTTCTGGGATCCATTATGGTGTCTCTTTTAAGCACTGTGGTGATATTTTGTCCCCACTGTTGTGGTGGTACACTTCTGAGTACTCTATCTGATACTCCATGTATTAGTTCTTTCCATTATGGCTGGTTGAAATGAACTAGTTCCTCCTCCATGTGAGCTTCAGGGATTTTCCACCTGCTTCTTTCTGATGTTTCTGATCTTACATCAGTAGTTTCCCCACACACATGCAAATATCACTACACAGCTAAAGACTCCTCAAAGAGAACCTTATTCACATCTCTGGAGCTCCCTCTCTATGCAGCTTCCTCCACTCTGCTTTGTAAATTCTAATCGCCTTGGCCTCCCCAAGCTTCACATTTTTTCCTACTCAACTCAGAAATTCCACCAAGTTCTATTTAAGTTTCCTCCTTTTGGAAAGATTTGGGAACTCTCTCCAGGCAGAAAGCTGGGTACTATCAGGACCCACCTTGTTTGTTTCCTTCTTTCATGACTTACTGTTCTGTACTGCCTGAATGTTTCCTTCCAGGAGGGTAAATCCAGTTCTTGGTTATATGTACTTTCTATCATGGACAGAGACAAAATTTCATAGCTCTAAGTTCTATGCCATTGTGATGTTTTATCCAATTCTTATTCATGAGGACATTTGCACCATTTCTTCAGTGCTGGGGAATAGATAGAATGATTGAAATATAATAGAGTTAAATGCACAATTACTGTAACATATGAGCATATTTTTATAACCTGACTTGCAATTATTTCATTGAAACTTAGAATGATTTCCAAGTCATTATGAGACTGCTCATTTATCTGCTTTCAGATTGTCTGATCGAGATGACACTAAATTTCTAAGCATTTATTCAAATATAAAAAAATTTTGGAGTCTCAGAATCGGCTAAGGGTTAGGCTTTCTGGATAATATTTACCTAAGGCTAAATTACATTCCTTTTCATTTTGGAAGACCTTTACAGAAGCAGTTTATTTTAGGAAGCATATCCACTCACATATTCCTATAAAATCAATGAAAGTATTTTGGACCTAAATGACATTTCCATTCAAAGTGAATATACTCAATTTGGAAATCTAATGGTCTGTTTTAGTTCTCATGTTTTCTGATCTCTCTGAAGCAGTTGATACTGTTGAAACTGCTGGTTGACTCCCAAAATGCTGTCCTTTTATTTCTTTTTTTTTTGAAAAACAATGATACATTTTTTTATACCATTTTCAAAACCTAACAACATTAAAAGTAAAAAACCATATGTCATATGTAAATTTAAGCCATAGTCTAATAACAGCAAATAGGTACAGTATTTAGCCTTACCATGTGCTTTTCTAAGTGCTTAACATACATTAACTGCTCACAGCATCTCCTGAGATGGGAAATGTTATCATCCCATTTTAAAGATGAAGAAACTAAGTCACAGCAGAGTAAGTCACTTGCCCACAGTCACACCAGAGCTGGTAGGTGGCTTCCAAAAATCTTCCTTTAATTACCACGCTGTACCCCCTCGTTAGGACCCAGAGAACTTGCGATCATTCTTCCTGTTATTTGGGCTACTGATCTCATAATTTTCCCTTTATCTCCTCGATGGTTCTTTCTTTCCAAATTTCTTTAAAATATTTAACTTTGAAGTACAGAATATATACATAAAAGTGTGCATATCACAGTGTACAGCTCATTGAAATTTTCATTAGCTGAACATGTCAGTATGCCCAGGATCCAGATCAAGTAAAAGAACGTAGCCAGCAGCCTGGATGCCCCCTCATGCCCTTTCTATTCTCTATGCCCACCCACCCATGGGTAACCATTATCCTGACTCTTAGTGCTATAGATTAGTTTTTCCTATTTTTATGCTTGATATAAATGGAATAGTACAGTATGTACTATTATTGTGTCTGTTTGCTTTCCTTCAATATTATGGTTGTGAAATTCATAATATTTTGTTTGTAATTGTGGACTGTTCATTCTTATTGTTATGTAGTGATTTGATGTGCAAATATATCACAATACATTTTTCCATTTTACTAGTGATGGATATTTGAGTGGTTTCCAGTACAAATAGTACTGCTGTGAATATTCCAGTGTGTATTTTTTTGTGAGCATATGCATACATTTCAGTTGGATAAATACCTAGGAGATGAATTGTTGAATCATAGGGTATGCATATGCTTAGCTTTGGTAGATACTGGTGAACAGTTTTCCACAATGATTTTATCAGTTTACATTCCCACCTGCAGGATATGAGGTTCCTGTCGCTCCATATGCTTGAGGCACTCAATATATTCTGTCTTTTCCATTTTAGTTATCCAGACGGGTGTGTAGTGATAATTCCTTGTGCTTTTAACTTGAATTTCCCTGATGACTAGTGACATTGAGTATTTTTTCATGTGCTTATTAGCCAGTTATATATTGGCCTTTGTGAAGTGACTGTTCAAGCTTATGTCCATTTTTTTAATGGATTGTCTTTTTCTTAGTGACTTATAGGAGTTCATTATGCATTTTGGGTGCAAGTCCTTTGTCAAATATCCTTTGCTCGTCTTTTATATATTAACTATGCCGGAGGATCCATCTGGTTTTTGTCTCTTGTGCTTTACACTCTCTTTGGTATATCTCACCCAATGATGGACTTCAGCTTCCTTGACTGAGGAATTTCTCTCTGGGGTCGTGGAGCCCTATTCCCAACTTGCTAGTGGATGGCCCAAGGGAAGTGCCCCCTTAACCTTAGTAAAACTGACATTATTGTTTCCTCTTCACAACCAGCTCTGCCTTGTGTGTTCTCTGTCTTCATTCATGGTGTAACTCTGCAACCAGGCATACAAGGTATTAAAGCTCCCTGTCCAAAATTGTATCACTGTTTGTTCTGCCCTTAAGTTCCTGTTATCCAGTCTCTTCTCACTTCTCTCCTGCCTAAGACACTCAGTGACTTTATTTTTATGCCCTTTGCCTAGAATATACTTTCTCTTCCTTCTCTGGAAAGCTTTATCTATCACTTATGCTCCTGTAGCATTTTGTGAATAATTCTGGCACAACACTCAGCCAAAAGAATTATCATCGATCTATCTACGTGACTGTGGCACCCTCTAGACTGAAGATTCCTGAAGAGCAGTACCATGATGCATGCAAATTTGCAAGGCCTGGTACATAGCAAGTGCTCAATAAATATTGTTGCATGAATGAATGATTGTGTCATTGTTTCCTGCAAAGTTTCTCCCACATCTCTTCTTTTCACCTTGCCATCTTTGAATTTCAAAGAAAGCAATATTGACTTATTTTTCTCTGTAGTATAACAATCTTCTTTATGTTTGTCACTGGAGCCTCGGTTATACCATTTATAAGGATATAAAATATGGAGAAATCTCCAAATGAAAGAACAATCCTCTAAAGCTGCTTCCTTCAGCACCCTTAGTGTTCGTACTCCAGGAATTTATACCTGAATCTCACAATGAGATTCTGCCAAATGTTTTGTTTAGCTTTCTGTTATTAAACTGCAATTATTTTCAAGGAACTTTCACACACACACATAATTCACATTAAGTTTGCCTGTGCCCTTACTGGAGGGAGCAAATGTTACTGTATTTAAAGTGCGTGCGTGCTGCAGGCCATAAAACGTAGTACTATTATCTAAGCAGATGGATGGTCTCTTAGATGGAAGAAACAAAAACTGTTGGAATATAGTTAGGTTTTCTTTTGCTTGTGGCCATATGATGTGTATCTTCGAGAATGAGTTTATGTTACATTATTAAACCCTGTGGTGTGAAATAGAAAGACTAATCTGAAATATCTTAAAAAATGTAAGGAGAAGTGACAGTAATCCCCCACAGGTCACTTATCTCTTTACTAGGATTAAACATTTATTCTGGCAGTCATTTAAATAATTTCACAAGCTGGGTCTTGGGATGTGGTTTATAGTAGGAAACTATACATTTAATTAAGAAATATGTCTTATATACATATACATTTTCAAAGACTTGTTCTTCTAACAAGGCTACTTTTATGATTCCAGATAATAAATTCAAATATGACTAAGTTTTATTTAGTTTTAATTACCCACAATCCAGTTGACAGAAGAGTAATGTGGGGAGGGAAGAAAAGAATCTGGGTGGAATTAATTAGCCTTGAGGGATGACAGTTACCTCGTTCCTAACAATATGTTTGGGGTGATGTCAGTTTCCTAGAAAGCTCAAATGTGAAATCACAGTGCCACTATCAGCACTTTTATTTGAGCTGAAAGCTGCAATGTTTAACTATTAACTGTGCTTCTGATCTGAACCAGTTTCCTAGTTAGCAATAATTTTCATATTCTGATTTATGGAGCGTTGCTGAAGAATTTAGTTATGACTGGGAGAGCAAACTATCAGTTACTACATGATAAACACTGCTGTCTTCTCTTTGAGTAAGTCTGTCACCCTTACAGAGTATATTTTTCTCCACCATTTTTTGACAAATTGCGTTCACTCTGCTTCCCAGCTCAGAGATAGTCAGCACTGGTCCCAGTGGGCAAACTCGTGGTCACTGCCAGTGATAGAGACCAAGAGAAAGCGGGTGGATATTTCAAGCAACATATCTGGAGGATGCTAAATCTCATGAACACAGCTTCCCCAAGATTTGGCTTTATAGATAAAGGCAGCCATATAATGAAATATAATCTTTATCAGAAGGACTGAATCCTGGTTCTGCAACCTCCTAGCCCTGTATCCTTGGTCAAGTGACAACCCCTCTGAATCTCCACATCATCTTCCGTGAAGTGGAGCCTATACTCACCTGGCAGAGCTGTTGTTCCCAAGAGTAAATGAAATAACACCTTGAGTCTCATAACATTGCCTTGTAGGGAATTGGTGCTCAATAGATCTTCTTCTCGTCTCTGCCCAGTGAGGTTAATTCTGAATATCCAGGGCTTCTTTTCTCTCTTGTGAATATGTGACTGGCTATGCATTTGTTTTTAGAAAGTCATATATAAGCACAGATGTCTGAGAAGTAGGTCTTCATGGCATTTATAAATCTTTTGTTTAATTTTTGGATTCTAGAAGTTAAGTTTCCTTTGTATAAACGATACTTCGTAATTATTTGTTACTGACTGCAATGTAGGCACTCGGTCAATGAATTAAAAAGCCAAATGTGTGTGAACAGGTTTGCAGACATTTTATTTATAGTAATTAAAACAGAAACAGTTTAAATAACTAAGATCAGGAAACTACTTTAGAAACTTATATAAAATGTGCATCCATTAATATTTACTTGTGAAGTCTGTATAGAAACATGATATTATATATATGAAATAATATTAAGAGAATGAAGCAGAGTCTATAAGAATTACATGTTTTATGTATGCACATTGTAACATAGTATAATTATATAGGTAAGACATGTAGGCAGATGGACCAGAGGAGAAAATGTAAAATTTGACACAGAAACTGATGGAATTATAGTCTGGTGGAATTGAATGATACTTTTGTCAAAGTTCTTTATTATTGCTATATATTTTCAGTAAAATAAATGCATTATTAATTAGACACTATTTTCAGAAAATCAACTGTGCTTTTTAAAATACTTTACATATGATCTTCAAATTTAGTTTAAAAAATTGTGACTAATTTCATTCAAAAATAGCTCTCAGTGGACCTACCAATCTGAGTAATTTGGTCCTAGCAACTGGATCTAGTCATCCATTCATTTAGCTTCTCTTTATTGAGTGCTCACTGGATGTTAGGTTCTGTGCTCTAGATAATAGTGTGAGCAAATTAGGACCTTGTCCTCATGGGGTTTGTGTTCTAGCAGGTGAGACAGACAATAAATGATTACAAAATACATAATATAAATTCCTATAGTGGTCAGTACTATGGAGACAGAACAGGGCATGGGGTACAGGGCTGAAGAGTAATCTATTCAAAGTTAAGATCCAGGATAACTTACCAGTTTGTGCACAAAATATGAAATAAGGATGTTACCTTATTGGAAAAATAAGGCTCTCTGTCCAAAGTAGTTTGAGAAATTTTGAATTATTTAGTTTTAGTCAGCCTCATGATTATTCTCAGAATAGCCATCTGAGGCCAGGCTGATTGAAGGACAGATTAAGAAGGCATGCCTACTGACCGATTCTTGTATTGTCTTCTTGTAGTTTTCAGTGAGGACCTTCACTCCAGCCTGTACTTTGTCAATGCATCTCTGCAAGAGGTAGTGTTTGCGAGCACCACGGGGACCCTGGTGCCCTGCCCCGCTGCAGGCATCCCTCCTGTGTCTCTCAGATGGTACCTGGCGACGGGCGAGGAGATCTACGATGTTCCCGGGATCCGCCACGTCCACCCCAACGGCACTCTCCAAATTTTCCCCTTCCCTCCTTCAAGCTTTAGTACCTTAATCCATGATAATACTTATTATTGCACAGCTGAAAATCCTTCAGGGAAAATTAGAAGTCAGGATGTCCACATCAAGGCTGGTGAGTACCATTCGTCAGGCTTTATTCCCTCTATGCCTGCTTAGGGTGGCGGTGGACATTGACAAATATAAAAGGCCATCAGCTAAGAACCAATGAAACCCTGTCATCGGTTCATTCTGACACTGCTCGTGGCTTCTTTGAGATGTCAGAGCATGTTTTGATGAATTTCAGAGTGCCTTACATTGTTGGAACTAAAACCTGAAATTAGTGATACCAAGTTGGTAAGGTCTAAACTATATCCTAAACTTATTTGTATTTTGACCAATTGAATACTCTGACTCAAAATTTCAGTGCCTCGAACCCAGTGGATTTTCTTCTTGCCCCCCTCTCCCCACTGCCCTCCCCATACCTGGTCCTGGAGGCAGATGGTAGAGGGAGTGAGGAGGAGAAAGGGAGAAAAGAAGACAAAGAGTTGAACTGGAGCAAAAGGTCCAGCATCCAGGTGTGATATAACTGAAACAGAATCAGTCTAATATTCTTGTATTCCTTGTGAAGTAAAAAAAAAAAGGCTATTGTAACATTTTTGACTATGTTGCATGTTGCAGGAATGTTGTCAATGAATAAATCCTGAATCAGTTATGTTCGTTTTAACAATATACTGTATTTTTTTTTAATTGCATTGCTACAAGTCAACCCAGGAATACAGCCTGAGATCCACAGACACCAAAAGTGATATGTACGGAACATATTGTGTCCTTCTATAGATTTAACAAAGCCCTGAAAAACAAGCTCACAGCTAGACTCCAGTTAGCAAACAGTGTTTAAATTGTTTTTTTTTTTTTTTAATCCTTGCCTTTCAGATACTGTGGTAGACTGACACAATATAATGGCAGGGCAAAGAAAGTGTGATTTTAATTGTTATCTTATGCAGCAGCTAGCTGGGGGAGTTTTGTAACAATTTCTGCAGCAAGTGAGGAGGTGCTACTTGAAGACATCACAACATGAGCAAAATATGAAATGTTTCTGAATTCCTGCATATAATCTCTTTGATGTAAGCGATCAAACATTAGAATATGACTCATTCTGCTAGCTACTCATTTTCCCAAGTATATTTTGATCTCCATGACATGCTCATGAATTTCAAGACTTGCACAAAAACACACTTAAGAAAGGAAGGAAAAGATTGGCTTTAATCAAGAGATATGAAAAATTGATACCCAAATAATTAAAATAAAGCAAATACAATTTGTATAGAGTCCTCTAAACCTGACAAACAGGGAGATTTAGTGAATGCTTTTACTTGGCAGGCTGACATTTTAATGATGTGTTATAAAAACATATTTATAGTCTACAAAGTACCACTTATAGAAAAACCTGGAACTTCAAACGGCTGTGCTTGTATGTGTTAATCTGCTATTTATGTCTTAGGTTTCCTGTTAGATAAAGGAATTAAATGCTTACTCATGTTTTACCTGCTATTTTCTAAATTTGTCATGGAATTGATTGTTTTTGCATGACACTGAAAGTTTTAGAGGGGTGGAAACTGTATCTTCTTGTCTGGCAGCCACTCCCTCTTCCACATAGTTTGTTATTGCTGTTTATGTGCTGGTATTCTTGGCATCTGAAGCCCTACCAAATGTGAATCCAGCACACCCATGATTACTCTGTCAGTTTGAACTTAAAAGAAGGACAGTCGTGTTGCCCAAATGAAATTTCTTTTCTCATTTAATTTTACTTCTTATTATGGACACATTATGGTTTTAATTGTCTTTCAGATTGTTTATTGGATTCTTGAAAATCTGATTTGCTATTTTATGTAGATGCTAGTACAGAAGTGGATGGCTGTTCAGAAGGATGGGTGAGGGATGTTTATGTTACCCAGTGATGACTGTAGTGCAGGTTTGAGTAGAATGGGCACTGACTCATGGGGCATCCTTCTGTGTTTCAGTTCATCCTAAATGTCAAAATGTCCTTCTGGATTGGTGTTGGGATTTTCTTGGACTAATCCATTAGGGAAAATGGCTTTATAATCTCTCCTTTGGCACTACAGGGAATTCTTATTCTTAACAGTTTTCAGCAACTTTGACCTAGGTCTGGATGTCAACAAAAGAGGAATGGTTCATCCATCATATCTCATTAATCACAATTCTAGTTCTTCTCTCACATAAAATACTTTCTTGCCCTTTCTGTCAGAAGGACTGGAATGCAGATGCACCACTTGACATGGTACTGCCCATGCTGTATTTGCTAGTTAGCAAACAGTGGTCAGCTATATGACCTTGGGCAAGTAGAAAACTTTCTAGTGATTATCTCCTCCTTAGTAAACTGTGGTTAATAACATTTGGAACTTCTGCTTATGGCCAAGATGGAGTAGCAGGGACCAAATTTACCCTTTTATCTGAAACAACAACAATAACAAACAGGAAAAATACATAAAGCAATAATTTTAAAGACTGGCCATCAGGTAATGAAGGAAAGTGATCCTTGAGAAACTGGAAGAAACAGCTAAGCCCTATGATGCCCCAATTTACTTAAGTTTCCAGATGGAGGGCACAACCTGCACATGAATTTTTATAGCAGCTTTATTCATAATTGTCAAAAATTGGAAGTAAGAAAGATGCCCTTCAGTATGTGAATGGGTAGCAACAAAGACCCTTGCCTTGACTAAACTTTAGTCAGGCTCCTCTGAGCCTTCTTCTCGACTAGTCTTTGACCTTCACCTTCTGTGTCTGTCCTCCTTGAGCGCAGTTTTAGCAAGAATAATGCTGTTATCTCCCACCTCTGATATTCAATCACTCTTGATATCTGATTAAGTTCCTCATCTTACCTTTGATGTATAAGTCCTTGGCCTGCCTTTAGCAAGAATCTCCCTAATCTTGACATCTCCTCTTAGTAATTTCCCATCCACTGACCCACTCACTCTGTTTATTGGCTATAAATCCCCACTTGTCCTTGTCGTATTCCCATATTGAAATAGTTGTGACCCCTATTGCAATAGTCTTGAATAAAGTCTTTCTTTACATTTCAACAAGCATCAGAATAATTTTTCTTTAACGATAAACAAACTGGTACATCTATACAATGTAATATTATTTAGTGATAGAAAGAAATGAGCTATCAAACTATGAGAAGACCTGGAGGAATCTTGAATGCATATTACTATGTGAAAATAGCCAATCTGAAAAAGCTACATACTGTGTGATTCCAACTATATGGCATTCTGGAAAAGGCAAAACTAGAGAGACAGCAAAAAGATCAGTTGTTGCCAGGGGATAGTGGGGAGGGAAGGAGGATGAATAAGTGGATTGTAGAACATTTTCAGGGCAGTGAAACTATTCTGTATGATACATTAATGGTGGATACATGCCATTATTCATAGAACTGTACAACACAGAATGAACCTTAAGGTAAACTATGGGCTTTAGTTAACAATAATGTATAAATATTGGTTCATTAATTATAACAAATGTATCACACTAATGCAAAATGCTAATAATGAGAGAAAGTGTAGGGGGTGGGGAGAGGGAGAATATGGGAACTCTCTGTACTTTCTGTGAAATTTTTCAGTAAACCTAAAACTGCTCTAAAAAATAAATTCTATTCCAAAGAAAAGTATTTCAAGTAGCTTAATATACAGATCGGGTCCCCAGAAGAATGGATGGTGAAATCAACAAAGGAGTTGAAGCAAAACTGGCCTCAAATTTTCAAGGAACTCAACAAACCCCAAGCGCAAGAAACATGAATAAAAATACACCAAGGCACATCATAATCAAATTTCTCAGGACCAATGATAAAGAGAAAATGTTAAAACAGCCAAAGAGAAAAGACACTTTACACACAGAAGAACGAACACAAGGATGACGGCAGATTTCTTGTCAGAACCAATGTGAGAAAACAGTGAAGCAACATTTTTAAAGTACTGAAAAAAAAGTAATCTGTAAGTCTAGAAATCTATGCCCAGTGGAAGTTTCTTTCAAAAATAAGGGTGAAATCAAGGCCTTTTTGGCACACAAAAACTGGAAGAATTCATCAACAGCTGACTCTCACACTACTAGAAATCTTAAAGAAAGTCCTGTAATCAGAAGGAAAATGACACCTGATGGAATCTTGGATCTACTCAAAGGAAAGAAGAATAACAAAAATGGTAACTACATGAGTAAATAAATCATATTTTTTTGTTATTTAAAATTCTTTAAAAGATAATTGACTATTTAAATGAACATAATAATAATGTCTTTTGGGGATTGTAGCATATGTATAAATAAAATGTATGACAACAATAGCATTAAGGCCTGGAATAAAGGTGTGGAAGTATAATATTGTAAAAGATTCTTTTATTATATATGAAGTTGTATAATGCACACTATATATACAGCTATACAGATATCTATTATAAAGCCTAAAGCAACTGTTAAAATAACAAAACAGGGAGTTATGGCTAATAAGCCAACAAAGGAGGAAAAATGGAATCATTAAAAAAATACTCAGCCCAAAACAAAGAAGAAAAGAATAAGAAAAAGGAAACAAAGAACAGATGGTGAAAATAGAAATCAAATAACAAGATGACAGACTTAGACCTAACCACACCAACACTCACATTAAATGTAAATGCTCCAATCATCTGAACTAAAAGGCAAAGATTGCCAGATTAGATTCAAACACTGCTTAAAAGAAATACACTTTAAATATAAAGACACAAATACGTTAAAAGTAAAATGATGGGAAAAGATACACCATGCTTATCAAATCAAATAAATCTAATCAAAAGAAAATATCAAAAGAAAGCTGGAGTAACTACATTAATATCAAACAAAGTATATTTCAGAGCAAATAATATTACCAGGGCTAATGAAGGTCATTTCATAATATAAAAGAGGTCAGTTAATTAAGAGTATATGACTATTCTAAATGTCTATGCATCTTATAACAGAACTTCAAAATACATGAAGTAAAAACTGATAGAACTTCAAGGAGAAACAGACAAATCAAAATTTATAGCTGGAGATTTCAATACCCTTCTCTTGATAACTGGCAGAAGTAGACAAAATCAGCAAGGATAA